ACATGCGTCAAAAGCGTGGTCCGTTGGAATTGCAACATGCGTCAAAAGCGTGGTCCGTTGGAATTGCAACATGCCTCAAAAGCGTGGTCCGTTGGAATTGCAACATGCGTCAAAAGCGTGGTCCGTTGGAATTGCAACATGCGTCAAAAGCGTGGTCCGTTGGAATTGCAACGTGCCTCAGAAGCGTGGTCCGTTGGAATTGCAACATGCGTCAAAAGCGTGGTCCGTTGGAATTGCAACATGCGTCAAAAGCGTGGTCCGTTGGAATTGCAACATGCCTCAAAAGCGTGGTCCGTTGGAATTGCAACATGCGTCAAAAGCGTGGTCCGTTGGAATTGCAACATGCGTCAAAAGCGTGGTCCGTTGGAATTGCAACATGCGTCAAAAGCGTGGTCCGTTGGAATTGCAACGTGCCTCAAAAGCGTGGTCCGTTGGAATTGCAACATGCGTCAAAAGCGTGGTCCGTTGGAATTGCAACGTGCCTCAAAAGCGTGGTCCGTTGGAATTGCAACATGCCTCAAAAGCGTGGTCCGTTGGAATTGCAACATGCGTCAAAAGCGTGGTCCGTTGGAATTGCAACATGCCTCAAAAGCGTGGTCCGTTGGAATTGCAACATGCGTCAAAAGCGTGGTCCGTTGGAATTGCAACATGCGTCAAAAGCGTGGTCCGTTGGAATTGCAACGTGCCTCAAAAGCGTGGTCCGTTGGAATTGCAACATGCGTCAAAAGCGTGGTCCGTTGGAATTGCAACGTGCCTCAAAAGCGTGGTCCGTTGGAATTGCAACATGCGTCAAAAGCGTGGTCCGTTGGAATTGCAACATGCCTCAAAAGCGTGGTCCGTTGGAATTGCAACATGCGTCAAAAGCGTGGTCCGTTGGAATTGCAACATGCGTCAAAAGCGTGGTCCGTTGGAATTGCAACATGCGTCAAAAGCGTGGTCCGTTGGAATTGCAACATGCCTCAAAAGCGTGGTCCGTTGGAATTGCAACATGCGTCAAAAGCGTGGTCCGTTGGAATTGCAACATGCCTCAAAAGCGTGGTCCGTTGGAATTGCAACATGCGTCAAAAGCGTGGTCCGTTGGAATTGCAACATGCCTCAAAAGCGTGGTCCGTTGGAATTGCAACGTGCCTCAAAAGCGTGGTCCGTTGGAATTGCAACATGCGTCAAAAGCGTGGTCCGTTGGAATTGCAACATGCCTCAAAAGCGTGGTCCGTTGGAACTGCAACATGCGTCAAAAGCGTGGTCCGTTGGAATTGCAACGTGCCTCAAAAGCGTGGTCCGTTGGAATTGCAACATGCCTCAAAAGCGTGGTCCGTTGGAATTGCAACATGCCTCAAAAGCGTGGTCCGTTGGAATTGCAACATGCGTCAAAAGCGTGGTCCGTTGGAATTGCAACATGCGTCAAAAGCGTGGTCCGTTGGAATTGCAACATGCGTCAAAAGCGTGGTCCGTTGGAATTGCAACCTGCGTCAAAAGCGTGGTCCGTTGGAATTGCAACATGCGTCAAAAGCGTGGTCCGTTGGAATTGCAACGTGCCTCGAAAGCGTGGTCCGTTGGAATTGCAACATGCGTCAAAAGCGTGGTCCGTTGGAATTGCAACATGCGTCAAAAGCGTGGTCCGTTGGAATTGCAACATGCGTCAAAAGCGTGGTCCGTTGGAATTGCAACGTGCCTCAAAAGCGTGGTCCGTTGGAATTGCAACATGCGTCAAAAGCGTGGTCCGTTGGAATTGCAACGTGCGTCAAAAGCGTGGTCCGTTGGAATTGCAACGTGCCTCAAAAGCGTGGTCCGTTGGAATTGCAACATGCGTCAAAAGCGTGGTCCGTTGGAATTGCAACGTGCGTCAAAAGCGTGGTCCGTTGGAATTGCAACGTGCGTCAAAAGCGTGGTCCGTTGGAATTGCAACGTGCGTCAAAAGCGTGGTCCGTTGGAATTGCAACATGCGTCAAAAGCGTGGTCCGTTGGAATTGCAACGTGCCTCAAAAGCGTGGTCCGTTGGAATTGCAACGTGCGTCAAAAGCGTGGTCCGTTGGAATTGCAACGTGCCTCAAAAGCGTGGTCCGTTGGAATTGCAACATGCGTCAAAAGCGTGGTCCGTTGGAATTGCAACGTGCCTCAAAAGCGTGGTCCGTTGGAATTGCAACGTGCGTCAAAAGCGTGGTCCGTTGGAATTGCAACGTGCCTCAAAAGCGTGGTCCGTTGGAATTGCAACGTGCGTCAAAAGCGTGGTCCGTTGGAATTGCAACATGCGTCAAAAGCGTGGTCCGTTGGAATTGCAACATGCGTCAAAAGCGTGGTCCGTTGGAATTGCAACGTGCCTCAAAAGCGTGGTCCGTTGGAATTGCAACGTGCGTCAAAAGCGTGGTCCGTTGGAATTGCAACGTGCCTCAAAAGCGTGGTCCGTTGGAATTGCAACATGCGTCAAAAGCGTGGTCCGTTGGAATTGCAACGTGCGTCAAAAGCGTGGTCCGTTGGAATTGCAACGTGCCTCAAAAGCGTGGTCCGTTGGAATTGCAACATGCGTCAAAAGCGTGGTCCGTTGGAATTGCAACGTGCCTCAAAAGCGTGGTCCGTTGGAATTGCAACGTGCGTCAAAAGCGTGGTCCGTTGGAATTGCAACGTGCCTCAAAAGCGTGGTCCGTTGGAATTGCAACGTGCGTCAAAAGCGTGGTCCGTTGGAATTGCAACATGCGTCAAAAGCGTGGTCCGTTGGAATTGCAACGTGCCTCAAAAGCGTGGTCCGTTGGAATTGCAACATGCGTCAAAAGCGTGGTCCGTTGGAATTGCAACATGCGTCAAAAGCGTGGTCCGTTGGAATTGCAACGTGCCTCAAAAGCGTGGTCCGTTGGAATTGCAACATGCATCAAAAGCGTGGTCCGTTGGAATTGCAACATGCCTCAAAAGCGTGGTCCGTTGGAATTGCAACATGCGTCAAAAGCGTGGTCCGTTGGAATTGCAACGTGCGTCAAAAGCGTGGTCCGTTGGAATTGCAACGTGCCTCAAAAGCGTGGTCCGTTGGAATTGCAACATGCGTCAAAAGCGTGGTCCGTTGGAATTGCAACATGCGTCAAAAGCGTGGTCCGTTGGAATTGCAACGTGCGTCAAAAGCGTGGTCCGTTGGAATTGCAACGTGCGTCAAAAGCGTGGTCCGTTGGAATTGCAACGTGCGTCAAAAGCGTGGTCCGTTGGAATTGCAACATGCGTCAAAAGCGTGGTCCGTTGGAATTGCAACGTGCCTCAAAAGCGTGGTCCGTTGGAATTGCAACATGCGTCAAAAGCGTGGTCCGTTGGAATTGCAACGTGCGTCAAAAGCGTGGTCCGTTGGAATTGCAACGTGCCTCAAAAGCGTGGTCCGTTGGAATTGCAACGTGCGTCAAAAGCGTGGTCCGTTGGAATTGCAACATGCGTCAAAAGCGTGGTCCGTTGGAATTGCAACGTGCCTCAAAAGCGTGGTCCGTTGGAATTGCAACATGCGTCAAAAGCGTGGTCCGTTGGAATTGCAACATGCGTCAAAAGCGTGGTCCGTTGGAATTGCAACGTGCCTCAAAAGCGTGGTCCGTTGGAATTGCAACATGCATCAAAAGCGTGGTCCGTTGGAATTGCAACATGCCTCAAAAGCGTGGTCCGTTGGAATTGCAACATGCGTCAAAAGCGTGGTCCGTTGGAATTGCAACGTGCGTCAAAAGCGTGGTCCGTTGGAATTGCAACGTGCCTCAAAAGCGTGGTCCGTTGGAATTGCAACATGCGTCAAAAGCGTGGTCCGTTGGAATTGCAACATGCGTCAAAAGCGTGGTCCGTTGGAATTGCAACGTGCGTCAAAAGCGTGGTCCGTTGGAATTGCAACGTGCGTCAAAAGCGTGGTCCGTTGGAATTGCAACGTGCGTCAAAAGCGTGGTCCGTTGGAATTGCAACATGCGTCAAAAGCGTGGTCCGTTGGAATTGCAACATGCATCAAAAGCGTGGTCCGTTGGAATTGCAACATGCGTCAAAAGCGTGGTCCGTTGGAATTGCAACATGCGTCAAAAGCGTGGTCCGTTGGAATTGCAACATGCCTCAAAAGCGTGGTCCGTTGGAATTGCAACATGCGTCAAAAGCGTGGTCCGTTGGAATTGCAACATGCGTCAAAAGCGTGGTCCGTTGGAATTGCAACGTGCGTCAAAAGCGTGGTCCGTTGGAATTGCAACATGCCTCAAAAGCGTGGTCCGTTGGAATTGCAACATGCCTCAAAAGCGTGGTCCGTTGGAATTGCAACATGCGTCAAAAGCGTGGTCCGTTGGAATTGCAACGTGCCTCAAAAGCGTGGTCCGTTGGAATTGCAACATGCATCAAAAGCGTGGTCCGTTGGAATTGCAACATGCCTCAAAAGCGTGGTCCGTTGGAATTGCAACATGCCTCAAAAGCGTGGTCCGTTGGAATTGCAACATGCCTCAAAAGCGTGGTCCGTTGGAATTGCAACATGCGTCAAAAGCGTGGTCCGTTGGAATTGCAACATGCCTCAAAAGCGTGGTCCGTTGGAATTGCAACGTGCCTCAAAAGCGTGGTCCGTTGGAATTGCAACGTGCGTCAAAAGCGTGGTCCGTTGGAATTGCAACATGCGTCAAAAGCGTGGTCCGTTGGAATTGCAACATGCCTCAAAAGCGTGGTCCGTTGGAATTGCAACATGCGTCAAAAGCGTGGTCCGTTGGAATTGCAACGTGCCTCAAAAGCGTGGTCCGTTGGAATTGCAACATGCCTCAAAAGCGTGGTCCGTTGGAATTGCAACATGCATCAAAAGCGTGGTCCGTTGGAATTGCAACATGCCTCAAAAGCGTGGTCCGTTGGAATTGCAACATGCATCAAAAGCGTGGTCCGTTGGAATTGCAACATGCGTCAAAAGCGTGGTCCGTTGGAATTGCAACATGCATCAAAAGCGTGGTCCGTTGGAATTGCAACATGCGTCAAAAGCGTGGTCCGTTGGAATTGCAACATGCGTCAAAAGCGTGGTCCGTTGGAATTGCAACATGCCTCAAAAATCTCTCCGGTTTCTCCTTCGCTCATCCACGCAACAAGCAGTCCAAAGGTGACTCTCTCTTCAGGGTTCTGAGACCTTTTAGTGCCTCTCTCATTACCTGTCCCGTTTTCTACACGCCTTCAGCTTGTGGATCTGCGTGGGGGCGTGTGGTGGCTGGGGGGACATGCAAAATTGCACTTGGGCTCCCAGCCCGTTGCAGCAGTGCAGGCCTTGCAGCGACGACGTGAGGCAGACTTGTTATGGGACGTCTCTAAACCACACACTCTCCTCGCCCACTTCCCCCTGACACACCCGCCAACGCCCATCAGCTACCAAGGGGGCCATGCAGAGTTGCGCTTCCGGCGTCCCAGCTGCTGGGACCCAGCACTGCTACTCGTTGGTGGAGGTGGCATCGCATCGACGTGAAAGTTACCTTCTTTCGCGCACTTTTTCCCATTTGCCCCCTTTCTTCCCAGGTACCAAGGCGGCCATGCGGAGTCGCACTTCCGCACCTCGCAGCACTGCTACTCGCTGGAGGTGGCATCGCAGCGCGTGTGGGACTACGTGGGCGACGCCTTCGTGCACCGCCTCGTGCTCTTCAAGACCGATGGCAAACTCGTTGAACTCCCCGCCCCGGGGGACGTGGGGGTGGGGGGACGGGGCGGAGGGGCAGAGGGAGGGGGTGGTGGAGGGGGAGGAGGTGCGGGAGATGGGCGTGTGGGAAGGGAGGGCGGGACCGGTGGTGCTAGGGAGGGGAGTGATGGGGAGGGGAAAGAGAAAAGGGGGAGTGGGGGAGTGGGGAGTGCAGGGGGGGGGGGAGGAGGGGAGGGGGGGCGAGTGTGTAGTGGGGCCGGGGGGGAGCTGCAGCCACCGTCACCAACGCCACGAGGGGGATGAGGAATTTGCCCAGGCTGTGATGAACAGTAAACTGGAATCAGTAAGTCTAGAGGGGTAGGAGGCGGGGCGCGGGCTGCAGCCTACAGCCACCAACAGCATCGCTACGGGGGGGATGGGCAGTTTGCCCAGGCCCGCCATAGCATCACTGGCTCTGGCGGTGATGAACAGTAAACTGGAATCGGTGAGGCCTTGTGATTATTTGCAGCTGGGAGGATGACGTGGCATGAACAGGAATCTAGTCATGTGCGTGCATTGGTTGCAGTGAGTGCTGCATGCACACTCCACTCCACAGAATCGCTCTAGCATTCGCGTGTCAGTCAGTTATCGGTCATTCTATTTGGTGTGTGCGCTTCTGGCCGAGGTGACCTTAGACCTTCAAGTTAGCGAAAAGAAAAACACTTTTGCTTTCATACTTTTGCCCGTGTTAGAAAATACTTTTGCTTCCAGACTGTGTCATATTGCTTCCAAAAGAGTGCCATCCAACACCCCACTGCCTTGATCCCTTCTGTGTTGTCTCTGCCTGCTGCCCCCTGCCCCACCTCCTCGCGTCTCTTCCCCCAGGTGGCCTACGAGTGCACGCACCTGCTCACCTCGCCTCCTTGTACTCATTACCTCCTCACCCCTCCTCCTCCCCCCACATCTCTCTTCTACCCTCCTTCCCCGTATTCCCCCCTCCCTCCCCCAGGTGGCTTACGAGTACACACACACCTGCTCAGCTCGATATATTCACCATGCACCTTCCGTCCCATATCCTTCTCTCCCCACCTCCTTTCTCCCCGATCCTTCCCCCCCCTTCCCCTCCCCACCTCCTTCCCCCCCGCTCCTTCCTCCCCCCTCCTCACCCTTTCCTCCCCCAGGTGGCCTATGAGTACACACACCTGCTCACCACGCAGCTGGACTCACAACGACTGGTAACCCCACTCTTAATTTCCAAGTATTTTTCGTTTTCTGTTCTCTTTTTCCTCAAACACCGAAAGTCAAGTTCTAGTCCTCTCACTGCAAATCTGAGCGTAGCTGTTTGAAGCACACAGTTGTTCACATTCTGAAGTACCATGATGTTGCGTCCCTTTCATCCTCCTCCCTCTCCCTGCACGCACTTGCACGCAGTACTTTGAGGGGCTGTTGGCAGCAGCCAAGGGCGAGAGGGACGAGGCGGTGGCAGCAGCAGAGGCGGCGAGGGAGAGTGTGAAGGTGCAGAAGCTGCAGTCTAGACTGGAGCGCGCCGAGCAGGAGAAGGAGTTTCTTAGGCAGGTGAGTGGTTTTGGTTTGGGACAGGTGAGCGATCGGGTTTGCGACAGGCAGGTGAGTGGTTAAGCCCTGGTTTAGGGTACCTCCACTCTGCAAAGGAGGTGGCGAGGGTTGATTAGGCAAAAGAGGAAGGGAGGAGAGTGTGAAGGTGCTGAAGCTGCAGTCCTGGCTGGCGCGCGCGCGCAGGAGTTCCTGAAGCAGGTGCGTTGTCTAGGTTAATGTTGGGCAGGTGAGTGGTTGTGGGTTTGGTAGTGATCTGGGTTTGGTAGTGATCTGGGTTTGGTAGTGATCTGGGTTTGGTAGTGATCTGGGTTTGGTAGTGATCTGGGTTTGGTAGTGATGTGGGTTTGGGAACTATGAGGGTGAGTGTTTTTGGGCAGGTGAGTGGTTACGCCCTGGTTTGAGGTGCCTCAACTCTGCAACGGTGGTGGTGAGGGTTGAATATGCGCTGGAGAAGGAAAAGAGAGTGTGAAGGTGCAGAAGCTGCAGTCTAGGCTGGCGCGGGCAGAGCAGGAGGCAGGTGAGTGGAGGAGTGGTGTTTTGAGGCGGTGACCTGGGTTCATGGCAGGTGAGTGGTCTACTCTTTCTTTTAAGGCAGCTATATATGGGTGGCAGCATGGTTAACAGGTTTGTAATCCTGTGACAAGTGTTGCATTGGGTGCCTTGCTCGTCACACCGCATCCAACCCATGGCTTCTGCAAGCAGCTGAGTGCTGCGCCGCTGTGGAGCCCATGTACTAGCTGCCAGCTCCGTGTGTGATTCCCTATCTGTTGCAGCCTCTATGCGCCTGTCATGTGCTGGCACGTGAACGACTCGCTGATCAAGAACCAAAAGCAGTGGCAGCACGAATTGATACAAAAGTGTTGATACCAGCCGTGCACTGTGCCTCAACCCCTGTCGAATCCATTTTATACCTGTCATGTGCCGGCAGGTGAACGACTCGCTGATCAAGAACCAAAAGCAGTGGCAGGAGAAGTTCAAGCAGCAGGAGGAGAGGGTGGGACAGTAGGCAGGGCAATGGTTCCGGGGAATGATGAGCGGGTTGTGGTCCGAGGGACATGACATGAGGGGGGAGTGTGCTGGCGGGGGGGGGGAGAGGAGAGTGACGTGTTTGGCGTGGGGTGATCAAGTGTTGTGCGAATGGTGTGTGTGGGACCCACCTTCCATGTCAGCGTTATCGGGGTACGGGTGCATGTGTGCGTCTTGAGCCATGTCGTCTGCTTCTCCAACCCCTCTTGCACTGTAATCCCACCCACGCCACGGCTGCTCAAAGTTTCCCATTGTGTGTGCCTCACTGTGTTGCCTCACTCGTTGTGTGGAGCGAATGTCACTTTCTGCTAGATTGGCTTCATTCGTTGCGTGGGCCTGACTGATTCCACGTTCTTTCCCATCTCTCCGTGTTGCTGTGGGGTTGTCAGGGAGAAGGCAGCGGTAGCTGCACGCGATGAGAAGATCAGAGACCTGGAGGAGCAGGTGAGAGGAGAGGAGCAGGTGAGAGGAGAGGAGCAGGTGAGAGGAGAGGAGCAGGTGAGAGGAGAGGAGCAGGTGAGAGGAGAGGAGCAGGTGAGAGGAGAGGAGCAGGTGAGAGGAGAGGAGTACTTGAGGGGGCGATGTGGCAGAGGAGCAGGTGAGAGGGAGTTTGCCATTGTACCTGGTTCTTATTTGGACCGAGGTTGTTTTTTGAAGTTGACTGGTGTCTTGAGGGGTTCTTGCCAGTGTTCGTTGCTGAAGCTGACCCATCATGCTGCCACTCGACTCTATCACCAATATTCCTGCCACCTGTCGCTATATATAGAATCACTTCTTGAAACGCCCTGACTACAGTGTCTCCTCTCCCCTCTTCCACCAGCGGCCTTAGGTGTGAAAGCTGTGTGGGTGTGCTTACTTCACGGCCTGACACTTGTTTGTGACGGTCCAATCTCACACCCCCCAGTTCCCCCTTTTCCCCCCTAACCCCCCCCCCTCCTCTCCCCCCCTCGGGTGCGGGACCTGATGGTGTTCATAGAGGCGCAGAAGATAGTGGAGCGAGAAGGGGGGGCGGGGGTGTGTTCTGACTGGCAGTGTGATGAGGCGTGCATGAGGCACCTGTGCATCACTGCTCTTCCAACTGCCCCACCCCCACCCTCCCCTCCCTTCGCAGGTGCGGGATCTGATGGTGTTCATCGAGGCGCAGAAGATAGTGGAGCGAGAGGGGGGAGCAGGAACAGCAGAGGGCATCAGGGAGGGCACTGTGCTGGCTGTGGGGGGGGCGCCTGCTGCCGGGGAGAAAGGGGCAGGCAGGGCAAGGGGGCGGCATGGGAAGAGGCGGTGATGCTGCGTGTGGGATGTCCAAACAAGGCGAGTAGTGGTGCTTGGTTGGGATCTAGAGACGAGGAGAGCAGTGGTGGGTGGGATGCAGAGAGGGCAGCAGAGGGCATCACGGAGGGCACTGTTGTGATTGTGGGGGGGCCGCCTGCTGGCGGGGAGAGAGGGGCAGGCAAGGCAAGGGGGCGGCATGGGAAGAGGCGGTGATGCTGCGTGTGGGATGTCCAAACAAGGCGAGTAGTGGTGCTTGGTTGGGATCTAGAGACGAGGAGAGCAGTGGTGGGTGGGATGCAGAGAGGGCAGCAGAGGGCATCAGGGAGGGCACTGTTGTGACTGTGGGGGGGCGCCTGCTGCCGGGGAGAGAGGGGCAGGCAAGGCACGGGGGCGGCATGGGAAGAGGGGCTGATGCACCCGTGCAATACGGCAGGCCAGACAGGCCCGGCCACACCATGCGGCGGGGTGTTTGGGATTGTGAGACACTGCAGAGGTGAGGTGAACGCATCTGCCGTTGTGGAGCGCCAAGGGAGATGGGGGCAGCAGAGGGGATCCCAAACGAAATGAGGCAAGGATGCTGCTTGTGTGATAGTCCAGAGGAGCAGGGAAGTGCTACTTGGGATCTCCAGAGGGCGTCAGGGGGAGGAGCTTCTTGTTCCCTGCGATTGTTGACTTGTTTGAGAAGTGAGATCACACTCTTGACATGATTGTACCCACTTTGTGTACAGTTATGCATGCTTGTACAAACAGATTACTGCTGCCATTGTCATCAAAATAAACTAGGACTGGAAGTGTTATTTTGTAACCGGTAGTTTTGCTTTCCTTTTTGTGTTGTAGTGGCCTCATCCCATCCCATCCCAGTTTGCCGTGTTCCAGTTATCCAGCGCACAGAAAGGGGTTTGCTTTGCATGTAACTTGTGTTCCAAGTGCGTGCGTATCCGTTGCTCCCATCCCAAGGCCTCTGTTCGGGTGGCCGATTCTGCAACAACAAAAAATAGTGCCTGAACCGAATAAGCTAAACAACGAGTGCACACTGTTATTGAATACGCTAATAATATACAGGACTCAGTACACTGTGATCTACTATTCAAGCTGAGGCTCGCATGAATGGGCGTGGTTGGGGTCGCTGCACTGCCTTCGGACTCAGCCCCAAGCCATGTACACTGTGATTACTATTCAGCCTGGGCTGGGACTCCCTTTTCTGCTTGTACGCATGAATGGGAGTGGGGTCTCGGCCAATGTCCTTGCTCCCCGCGTTGAGGTACGGCCCTCGCTGCACTGCCTGTGGGCTCAGCGCCAAACCATGTCAACTGAGATCTGCTATTCAGCCTGAGGCTCCCTCTTCTGCTTGTACACGGAAATGGGCATGGGATCTCTGCCAATGTCCTTGCTCCCAGCATTCAGGTACGGCCCTCGCTGCACTGCCTGCGGGCTCAGTGCCCCCTCCCTCTCCACCAGGGGCTCTGAGCAGAAGCGCCTGCAGTGAGGTGGGGGAGGGGAAAGGGGAAAATGGCTTTCGGATTTGTGTGGGGAAACAAGACTCTCAATCTCCTGCCTGCGGGGTCAGCGCCCCCTCACCAGGGGCTTCGAGTAGAAGCGGCTGCGGAACGGTGGAGGGGAGATCAGGGGGTGAGGAGGGGGACGGGAGGGGGAAATGCTTTTCAGATTGGGGCCTGCTGGTTCAGCGCCCCCTCCCTCTCCACCAATGGCTCCCGGTGAAATCGGCTGCAGTGTAAGGGGGGAGAGAGGGGGGGGGAGGGTACTAGAGGAAAAATGGTTCTAAAAATCGCATGGGAAAACGAGTCTGAAGGCACCCTGCCTGTGGGCTCAGCGCCCCCTCCCTCTCCACCAGGGGCTCCGAGTGGAATCGGCTGGGGAAAGGTGGAGGGAGCGGGGGAGGGGGAGGGGCAAGGGGGAAAAAAAATGTTATCAGATTCGCATGCGAAAACGAGACTCACAATATTCTGCCTGCGGGCTCAGCGCCCCCTCCCTCTCTGCCAGTGGCTGCGAGGGGAAGCGGTAAGGAGAGAAGGGAAGGGGAGGGGAGGGCAAGGAAGTGAGAGGAGGAGAGGTGAGGGGAGGGGCGGGGAGGGGAGGAGAGAGGAGGTGAGGGCAGGGGAGGGGGTTTGGTCATCAGATTTGTGTGGAAAAACGACCTGCCCGCAAACTCGCGCCCTCCCTCTCCAGGAGCGGCTGCAATGCAAGTGGAAGTGGCTGAGGAGAAGGGGAGGGGATTGCACTGGAGGGGTAATGGTTCTTGGATTTGGCGCGGGAAACGAGAATCTCAATATCCTGCTTGCGGCCTCAGCGCCCCCTCCCTCCCTGCCAGCAGATGCGATTGGAAGCGGCTGAGGAGCCAAGAGGCAAGAGAGGAGGGGAGGGGAAGTGAGGGGAGTGGATGGGAGAAGAAGCGAGGGGAGTAGAGCGGGGGGAAAGGGAGGGGAGTAGAGGGGGAGAGGGGAGGAAAAGGGAGCGGAGGGAAACGAAGAACGTGTAAACACGGACCACTCCGCGAAGGGCTGTGAGTGGGAGTGGCAGGCGGAAGGGAGAGGAAAGGGGAAGATAGGAGAGGAAGTGGAACATGCGACTCTGCTCTAGGCTGGTGAGCGCACGGAAGGGAGAGGTGGAGAGGAAATGCAAGGGATGCGACGGGACGCAATCGCATTTGGTAAGCTGTTACTGGGATTACGCAGGCAGGCAGGACAGGGAGGGAGGAAACGCGGAGGAGGGTGGGTAGGCGAGGCATGACACGAGCAGAGGAAGACCGCAGGACAGGTATGGGAATGAAAGACGAGGCGGGGATGAGAGAGAGGCGGTACCACAGCAGCAACGGCGGTGAGGAAGTCCCAAGGGTTGACACACGCATACCAGCCTTGACGCGAGCAGAGGAAGAGAGCAGGTCAGAGATGAGAGGGAGAGAATGGGCGGAGATGAGTGAGAGGCGGTACCGCAGCAGCAACGGCAGCGAGAGGGTCCCGATTCTGGGTGAACACGCGAAAAGCAGCCTTTGACGCGAGCAGGGGAAGAGCGCAGGTCAGCGAAGAGAAGGAGAGGACGGGCGGGGGAAAGAAAAGGGGCAGTACCGCAGCAGCAGCGGCAGCGAGAGCGTGCCGAGAGTGAACATCCCCAGAGCGGCCGCCACCACGAGATTGCGCTGCCGGCGGGACGCCGCGCCCGCCATTCGCGAGCAAAGATCCGCTATAACGAGAATCGCGAACGAATCGTTCGCTGCTTGGCTGTGAAGGGATTTCTGTGGTGTGCTTTCAGCCAGCCGCCTTTTCCAGCATTCGCCTACAGCCCCTCGCCTCGGCCCCCTCCCTTTCAAGCCCTCCTCTGCCTCAGCAGCTGGTTACCAAAAGCCACGCTGACTCACACGATCCGGTTCCCCACGCCGCCGATTACTACCGCTCGTCGCGTGATCGCGTAATCGCCTTGTCGCCCTGCTCGCCCGATCGTTCGCTTGGACTCGTCGTTTAGGCTCGTTGTTTGATAACCTTATCGCATCGCTAGAAAACGGTTCCTCAGCTCCTCATGCATCCGCGGGTCGTTGCGGTTCGCGGATTATGGACAAGCCCGAGTCGTTACTAAGAAGTATGTCTGACGGCGGCCTTTGAAAAACGCGGAAAGAAGATTCGAAAGTGGACGGAGATGCGGTGGAGGTAACTTGAGAGAACAGCGGAAGGAGCGGCGGAAGGAGCGGCGAGGCTGTAGGTTTCGTTTTCTAGGGAAGCGGCCTGAACTTCGAATCTGTTCGAAATTCGTAGCGACATTCGCGATTCATGGTAACCACGTCACTGATTCGGCGAAGGTATGCACCTGTTCGCCTGTGACGCGGATTGATTGGAAACCCTGAAGTCGTTTCACCCGTCTATCCTGTACCAGCAAAATTCAAAGACTTGAAGATAAAAACGAGTGCGCTATTGGTGTGAATATCTTGAAAGGCGACAGGCAATCGACATGCTCATTTCGTACCAGAGGTACAGCAACATCTGCTATCATCCATCGCTGTGTTTCACACGCTCCGCATTATTCTGCCCGTACGCTCGTCCGTATTGGCAGGGTGGGGCGAGTGAGCACATGGGCTTACTCGTTCGCTCCCTTCACCTTCGCTCTAGTCCCGTCCTACATATCGGAGATTCCTCGCACTTAATCACCTTCCGCAGACGCTCGTTCGCTCTCGCCAGCAGCTTCGCTCCGAACCTCATCCACAGGCTCGGATCTAGCCTCACTCCCAGCCTTAGTCGCAGCTCCATCCGTAATCCCGTGTGTCCATCCGAATCGCCGCACGCTCTTACCCTTGAGTCAACTCGCTCTTGCTTGGGAACGTGTCGCGGAGCTAGCAGAACCGTCCGATCCATGATGGCTGACGCGACGGATTCTTCCTCCAGATCTGCCTCCGCGCACAGCCCTACACACCCCGCACAATGCGGCGCGAAACGCGGGGCGTTGATTGTTCTCGAAGGGCTGGATCGAAGCGGCAAGTCGTCGCAGGTGGCTCGGCTGGTGGCGCACCTGGAATCTCGGGATTTAGGGCCAGTGAAGGCGATGCGGTTCCCGGATCGCAGCACGACGATCGGACGGGAGATAGACGCGTATCTGAGGGAAACCAAGGAGATCGAGGACCGTCGGATTCACGAGCTGTTTGCGGCGAATCGATTCGAGAAGAAGTGAGACGGGAGGGTGGAGGGGTACAGGGGGAACGGGAGGGTGGCGTATTTAGGGAAGGGAAGAGGGAGTGAAAGAGGGCGCCGGATGAGGTGAGGAGAGGGGCTGATTGTGGAAGAAACGTGAGGGAACTTGATGACACAGCATCACGTTGGTGTCATGGCATGACATACACTGTCGCATGGCATCACATGCACAGTCGCATGGCATCACATGCACAGTCGCATGGCATCACATGCACAGTCGCATGGCATCACATGCACGGTCGCATGGCATCACATGCACGGTCGCATGGCATCACATGCACGGTCGCATGGCATCACATGCACGGTCGCATGGCATCACATGCACGGTCGCATGGCATCACATGCACGGTCGCATGGCATCACATGCACGGTCGCATGGCATCACATGCACGGTCGCATAGCATCACATGCACGGTCGCATGGCATCACATACACGGTCGCATGGCATCACATGCACGGTCGCATAGCATCACATGCACGGTCGCATGGCATCACATACACGGTCGCATGGCATCACATGCACGGTCGCATGGCATCACATGCACGGTCGCATGGCGTCACATGCACGGTCGCATAGCATCACATGCACGGTCGCATGGCATCACATACACGGTCGCATGGCATCACATGCACGGTCGCATAGCATCACATGCACGGTCGCATGGCATCACATACACGGTCGCATGGCATCACATGCACGGTCGCATGGCATCACATGCGCGGTCGCATGGCATCACATGCACGGTCGCATGGCATCACATGCACGGTCGCATGTCATCACATGCACGGTCGCATGGCATCACATGCACGGTCGCATGGCATCACATGCGCGGTCGCATGGCATCACATGCGCGGTCGCATGGCATCACATGCACGGTCGCATGGCGTCACATACTCTGCTGCCAGCTGCTCCCTGTCTTTCTTCCCCACCCTGCCCCCCCCCTCTTCTCCGCAAAGCAGGCAGAAGAGGGTGGCGGCGCGGCAGGAAGAGGATGTGCGGCACCAGGCTGTTCTGCAATTCATCGTGAATACCCTGTACACTCCTCTTTCAACCGCTCACTCTCTCTGCTGCCTGCCTGCCTACCGCTCCCCTGCTGCCTGCCCTCCCCGCTTCACTGCTCGCCAGGGCAGAGATGGAGGCTTCAATGGCGGAGGGCACAACACTGGTGGTGGACCGCTACTCGTTCTCCGGCATCGCATTCTCAGCCGCCAAGGGCCTTGACGTGCACTGGTGCAAGGTGATCGTGCAGCTCACCAATCGGAGCTTCGGTCTTGCCCCTTCCGCATTCGATTCTCATCTCCATTTGTTCGTGCTTCTTATTTGTTGTGTGACAGTTGTTCACCCTTGTTGCAATCCGCTTCTTCCCACCGTCTCCTCTTGTGCCCTCATCGCCCACCAGTCCACGGAAGTGGGCCTGCCAGCACCAGACGTTGTCATTTACCTTGACATCGACCCACAGGTATTGATCTCGTTCCGCCGTCCTTCCACATGCAATTGCGAACCGACACCTGCATTCATCCACCCCTCCTACTCTTCCTCCTTCATTATTCCTGTCCCCTGTCTTCCTCGTCCATTATTCCTCTCCCTTGGGCTACTCGTTGCATACAACAATTTGCAGCATGCAGCAGAACGGGGTGGGTACGGTGGAGAGCGGTACGAGAAGGTGGAGTTCCAGCAGCGAGTGGCTCAGCATTTCCAAGCACTGAGAGACGACAGTTGGGTGGTGAGAACCTCCCTGCCCGTGTGAACCATGCAACCCCTCTTTGTCCAACTGCCTCTTGCGTTTGTGCGTCACCTTCCCTGCCTGACCACCTGTTGTTACGATATAAACCATCAAAACGTCCATCAACAGGTGGTGGACGCATCTCAACCGTTGGATGACGTCGCATCGGAAGTTAGCAAGGTGGCAGAGTCCATAGTGTGCAAGTGCAAGGCTGAGGCGCTTCCTCTGCGATACCTGTGGAGATGACAACCCTCCTGCGTGTTCCTTCAAACCAGTGCGCACCATTTTCTGTTCTTGTTTTCTGTACAAATGCACACCTTGGGGCTGGCTGGTTATCCACTGTTTCGCTTATTTTTCGCCATCAGAGCCACTCGTATTCCGTCTCATCATCTTCTCGCTGCCCTGGTTTGCCATTGTGATCCGTGTAGCTGCAATTTGCACTTTTTCATGCTGTTTTTTCTAAGTCACTTGGGCAGACGGCACGCCAGTGACCTCTGCCCACTCCACGGATGCAGCCTTGGTTGTTTTCCACTGGAACAGTTCCAGACCACTCGAAATCTTTGAGCTGTGAACGTGGCCTCCGGCTTGCATCCGTTTCCGGATCTGATCCTAACGCTCCTGAGCTCAACAGTGCACATGGCATTGCTCACCACGCCCACTACACATCATATGTTCCCAGGACAATGGCAGCAAAACGAGGAAGTCTGAGGCAGAACGCCGAGCATGGCAGGTGGGGGGGAGCGGGTTGAGGTGCTTAGCTGCGGTGCGATGCACTGCGGTGCGGAGGGTTCAGAATGGTGGTTTCAGCAGCACTCCTCCCTGCATGCCGCATGTTGCTTGCTGGGCGCTGGGCGCTGCTCCCCCTGATACGGGAGGGGGGGAGGAAGGGTACAAGGGCGGGAATGAGCGAGTGGGTGAGTGGAAGCAGGTGATGCGGATTTAGTGACGTCAGCTGCAAGGGATAGCAAGGCAGGCATGCAAGCCACGCACGTCCACGGCTGCTGTAGCGCACCCACGGGGACGGCTGGGGGGGAACTGACCCTCACCTCACCATACCTAAGGTATAAGTACTGCACCTGCCGGGGGGCACCTGCTGCTCTACCTCTGAAAGAAGAAGGGGGAGGCTTGGGTTCGCCACTGGTGGCCAGGTGGACGAGTAAAAAGCGAGCAGTGCAAACAGGGAGCATGCAGAATGGCAGGTGGAAAAAACTGGCGAAAGCGGAGTTACTGGTGAAGCGATACTCATCTCTTTCTTGGCTGCTGGTTAGCCAATGAGTACCCACTGCCGCTCCCTCTGCTGCTGCCTCTGCTGGTGTCTCTGCTGCTCCTTCTGTACCCGTGTTGCTTCATGCCAGCAGGGCACTGAATGAGGGAGGAGAGGGCGAAGGGGAGGGGGGGATGGGATGGGGGATGAGAGCCAAGAGCATGAAATAGGGGTCAGTCGAATCACACGCAGTCAATTCCAGATGTGCATACAGGAGGGGAAGCACAGCTGCTGCAACACACCCGAGGGGAGTGGGGGGCCTTACTGTACCAGGGGTACCGGTAACAAGTTTTGCAGCTACCAAGGGAGGCACGTCATGGTCATAGTTAAAAGAGAATTTTGTTCCAGCGTTTTCAGTTAGAATTATAATAATAAAAAATACAGGGGTTGCGCTTATACGTAATACGCAAGCTTTGGGTGGCGCTTATAATCGAGGACCGGATTACAATTTCTACCGTACATGCCAATCATAGCTGCATGTGCTTATCATAGGCATGCGCTTATATCCAGAGGGGGGGACGGTATCAACCACCGGGAGATGTTTAATTTCGAAGGGTGTTACCCATATCCGACAGGATACGGTACGATGAATTTGGCCAGGCCAAAAAGGCATAATTTCATCCCTTGTTGGCTATTCTGCACGTTTTGCATGTATGAACGAACCCCTTGGTTTCTTTACAAAATAAGAACTGCGTTTAAGAGACCTACGGTACAGTTTGCTATAAAAACCATATTCAATCATCCTGACATAGACATTCAATTGTCCCACGTGCATACAAAACGACTCAATCGTAGGCGCACGCACCCCCTTAGAAAACGTGTTTTATTACCGTATAACCGCAGGCGTAGTATACCTGGGGGGAGACGGTACCGACCGTATCATATACCAACGTCAGTATGGCAGTACGGTAGCAGGGATATGCTTTCCCAATCTGTATAACGCCAAGGAGCACGCAGAAGGCAGCAAGCAGCAAGCCGCCACGTGGTGGGCATCTCATCGTCCAGAATGTAAGAGTTAGGAAGCCAACCCTTTAGTGGGCGTTTCATCATCCCTGGCAGCCAGAGCGATGTTGGAGATCCAGCATACTCCAGTAGACCCTGAACTCGTCAGCAGCTCCCACTCCCCCACCTCCATCCCTCCCCCCATCCTCGCCTCCCCTCTCCCTCTCCCTCCCAACCCCTCCTGCCCGCTCTCACTCCCCACCTCCTCTCCCTCCTCCCCTGCCCCCCTCTCCTCGCCCTCCTCATCCCCTTCAGCCACCTCAGAGAGCGAAGGCCCCACGTCGATGCTGCTGTTCACTGTGTCTTTATCGTCCTCCTCACCCTCGTGCGTGCTTATATCAGAAGCAGTCGAACCTCCTACAATCACCACACTGTCACTCAACGCCCCCTGCTTTCCCCCACTCCTGCCGTCCGAACCGTCCCCACCTTCCTCCCCTTCCCCCTCCTCCTCCCCCTCCTCCACCACACCCCCCAGCCCCCCTCGTCTGCTCGCCTGTAACCCCGCTACAGCTGCAACAGCCGCCGCCGCTACAGCAGCAGCCTCGGTCTCCGAACCTGCCGCTACTACAGCAGCGGCAAAACTGGCTGACACCGTTTGTCTGGATCCCACCACCCCTGCTTCCTCACCATCAAGACTCTCAGGCTCGTTCGCAGGAGTGGGGGGTGGGGGCGGGGGTGGGGGCAGCGGCGGTAGGCTGGCGTGGTGGTGCGAGTGGTGAGAATCATGGTGGAGGCGGCTGGGATGGGTGTAGAGCGGTGCAGCGCGGCGCTGCGACCAGGAGTAGCCGCAGAAATCGACAGCGACGACGGTGACAGGGGCGAGACGCTCCACGCTGGCCGCTACGGCGTCGCCATGTGTCACGCAGAGGATGCTGTCGCTGGGGAAGAGTGCTGCCACGTCATCAAATGCCTGCATGAAGCGCTCCCGTGCACTCTCGAGCGATTCCGGGAAGATGGGGAACTGGTGGTGGGCGAGGGGTTGAGGGGATGGGAAAAAATAGAGGGTTAATGAGAACGTAAAAGCATTAAACGCTCGCGTGCACTCTTGAGGGACACAAGGGAAAGGGTATGCCCACACACGTGTGGGCATGCGACCTCACCTCACAATGCACACGCTTGCCTGCCCTCCCCTCTCCAGATACAATAGCAGAACCACCAGCACTAGCAGCAGCAGTAGAGAGCGGCAGGAAGGCGGTGCCAGGGGGAAAGATAGCCCTAAATTCGCCCTTCCCTCCCACGACACCCACCCCTTGCTGGTACACGAAGAGGCATGACATGGCACAGGGGCGTGGGAAGGCAAACACACCTCTGAATGCACGTTCCTGCCTGCCCTCCCATCTCCAGACGCAGCAGCAGCAGCAGCAGGGAGCGGCAGGAAGGTGGTGCCGGGGGTAAATAGCGCCTTCAGGTCATCCTCCCCCAGCACCCACCCCTTGCTGCGCGCCTCTGCTGCTGCCGCCTCCACTGCTGCCGCCAGCCCTGCATGCTCCGCCATGCTGCTGAGCGGGATGGACGCCGCTGGTGGTCTTTCTTCTGTGCAGCGACGCAGAGCGCGCGTGTTCATCACTTCAGCCAAGGCGGGGCTGAATGACACCTGTGGGGACAGGGAGGACAGGGAGCGGAAGGGAAAGGGAACGTGCGTTGGGAAGGGCTGGTGGGCGCTAGCGTGTTCATCACCTCAGCCAGGGGGGGGCTGAATGACACCTGGGGTGATGGGGGACTATGTTGAGAAAGACACTCAGGAGGGCGAGCGTCCCGCGTCCGGACGCCAGCGTCCGGACGCAGGACGCAGGACGCACGCGAAGTCGCAGGACACTCCGCGGATTTTTTTGGGCTGCCCGAAAAAAAAAATCCACGAGCTTGCCATTCACGATTTTGACGCCAATGTTAATTCCGCGAAATAGTAACCCAACGGGAGCAATGTCGCCAAGCAGAATCGCGAACAAATGGGAGTGCTTTTGCTATTTTGCAAAGCAAAATTGCTCACAAACCATTTTTCCCCCAACCACCACACGTTACTGCACTACATCTCCCCCTCCCAACCTTGTCGACCTGAACGCAATGTAAGAAGAGGATCAGGTCGACATTCAAACATTTCTCTCCTAGTCGACCTGCTTCTCTTTCAAAAACCCCTAAATCTCGGTTTAACTATGTGAGTGGAATTTTGGTGTTCATTTAAGATTTTAAGAATAATCCATGTGCAATGTCCCAAAACCCCCTCTCCCTCCCTCCTAGACGTTTGTTGCCTGCCCAAAATAGTTATACCCTGCCCGGCCCAGCGTTTTTTTAACGTCCTATTCGCAGACCGGTAAGCATCCAGCGTCCAGGACGCTAGCGTCCAAGACGCTGGACGCGTCTTTCCCAACACACATGGGGGAGACGGGGGAGGGGACGGAAGGGAAAGGGAACGTGTGTTGGGAAGCGCTGAAGGACACTCAGAGCGTGCACCGCTGCAGGGATCGTGTGTTCATCACCTCAGCCAGGGCGGGGCTGATGGACACCTGGGGTGATGGGAAGCAGGGGGAGGGAGGAGAGGAGCGGGAGAATGGGAGGGGAGAGGCTACGAGAGTTAAGGGGTGAAGGGTGCTCAGAGGAGCACAGCTGCCAAGCGCGGGGCGTGTGTGGCCGACCTGGGGCAGGGCGGGGCTTAGGAGAGGGGAGGGGAGGGAAGGGGAGGGTATGAAGGATGAAAGAACATTCCATTGAGGGAGGAAAGAAAAGAGATGGGGACCGGGATGGTAAGGGGAGGAACAGAGCGAGAGGAAACATGGAGTAAAAAGAAGAGGAAAAGGGGGAAAATGGAGGCGTGCGAAGCGAGGAGAGTGGTGGTTGCAGGAGTAGTGGATCCGGGAGGGAGGGAAGGAGCGGCGAAAGAGCTAGAAACAGGAGTGAGGGCTCGGCAGGAAGGAATTGGCTCGGTGCCTCACCGTGACAGTGACACCTGAAGGAGAAGCTGCCGACTGCACCTGTCCCTCCGCCTTCTGCGATCCCTCTGCGGCCCCACCCGCCACCTTCCCTTCGCCTGCGCTGCCCGCCTCTCCTTTTTCTCCCTCCCCCTTCTCCCCCTCCGCCCCTTCCCCCGTGCGCGCGCCCAGCAGCCCCGCCACGACGTGAACGGCCGTCTGCACGCAGCGGCGGAAGGGCGACACCACGACCCGCACCACAGCTCCCGACCTCGCACCCTCCACCTCGTCCCCACTCTCGCTCTCCTTCCCCCCGCCGCCTCCCCGCGCGCTGCTCCTCCCCGCGCCGAAGCCCCGTGCCCGCAGCGCCTGCCCGACCTCCTCCGCCGCCTTGGCGCCTCGCGCGGACAGCGGCGGGTCCCAGGGTCGGTCCGAGCCTGCCGCCCAGCCGTCGTCCTGCTCGTCGATAGGCTCGGCGTGCCGAACCACGACGAGCGTCTGAACGGTGGGTGGAGCGGGGTAGCTTGCGCCTGCCCCGCCGAACCTGCTCCCCCCTGCTTCCCGCTCCGCCACGCCCGCCGACTGCCCCCCAGCTGACTTCTCCCCGGGGCTGGAAAACAGAGCCTTGCTCGTTATACCGAGTCTGCTTGTAACGAGGCCTGATCCTGCTAAGTCCGCCATAGCTTGGTCAGAGGTGAAGGAAGGCGCGGGCGACATGTGGTAGGGCGGGATAGACGAGCACGTCGAGAATTGATCCAGCGACATTATGCTTCCCGTCGGGCTGCCGAGCGTGGCCGCCACGCTGCTGTCTTGGCTCGTCGTCCGAACCAGGTGGCCCGGCGGGAAATCCACCCGAACCTGCGGTAGGGTCGGGAGGAAGAGCCCGTCCTGAGGAACGGTGCCGGCGGTGAAAGCGCCAAACGTGCTTCCCATGCTGCTTAAAACGGGGATGTCTGCTTCGGGGATGGAATGCGCGGCGGATTTGAGACCCCCACACGGGACAATGGGATGTCGAATCCCTACATCCCCGGACTTCGCCGCTGCTTCTAGCGAGACTGCTTCTACCGGATCCCGCCGTTCTGAATCCAACGGCACCGTCGACGCTTGCTTGGCGCGATTGGCTGGATCGGGAGAAGCGGAAGCGGCGGGGATGTCTCCTGCGGAAGCGGTGGGGGTGTCTCCGACGGGGATCGGCGCCGTGGCCGCGACCTGCTCGTCGCCTGCGGCTCCTGCGACTCCTGCTGGACCTGCGACTCCTGCGACTCCTACGACTCCTGCGGCTGCTGCGGATCCTGCTTGCGACATCGTCGCGGCGCACCGAGGTCTGAGGCGTGAGGAAGGCGGTTCGACAGTGGGCGCAATGATTCCGGGAGCACAGGCGATGACTGGCAATGGGACAACGTGGTGTGACAGGGTGAATTTCAGAGGAACGTGGAATGGCAGAAATGAGCAACAGGCGATGATGATCCCAAGAACTGGAGCAACCCTAGAGTGGAATCCGGATTTGGCGTCTCTTTTGGCAGAAATTGTCGAAGTTCGAACTCTAACCGCTTTGCACCGTGGCGACACGCCTTTCAACTGTATCCTACCGTGTACAACCTCTCTAAAAGTTCGAACTTCGGCCAAGTTCGAACTTCGAGGAGACACGCTCTTATTCATCATATGAAAGCAAGCTCTGTACCCACTTTTGCTGGATTCAATATGCTAAAATGATTTTGTAGTTTCTAGCCTCAATTGATGTCGTCAAGGTCATTGTAAGAAATCATAAATCCTTACTGTAGCACTTGTTACAATCCAAAAGAGGACTTAGCGAAGGATCATCTCAGGGTTGATCGTGTGTTGAGTTGTTGCAACGGAAGTATTGACCTCAGGTCAGAGTGAATGTAATTGACTGAGATGATTAAAAGCATGCATACATCGAGTTTATATATAGAGTACACGGGAATACGAAACGACCAAGACTAGCCATGTACTCTAAGGGGTACATTCTCTTATTACAGCGAAGTTCAACCGTGCGGCGCGGGAACCCGTTTCAAACATGTTCCCGCTCTTTTCAGTTCAAATGCTTCTGCATGCATCGGTCTTGATCTGACGGTTGCCGGTGTCGCTTCGACTCTTCTGACTCTTCGCCTTCGTAATCGGTAGAGTCGGCTCCTGCAGCATACAGGAATGCCTTACTCGTTTTTCATATCGTAACACTCCCCTTCATTCCTGGTCGCGTAGAGGGCTGACTCGCTTGACTACTCCAGTAAGGTTGGAGCAGTGCTGGTACTGCTGACGTGGCAGTCGCTTGGTGAGGCAATCAGCTGCCATTTCTGTGGTGGGGCAATACGTGAGGTCAACCTTGCCTTGGTCAATTTCGTCCTTGACGAAAAAGTATCAAAGCGCGATGTGCTTTGTGCGGTTGACGAACCCTGACTTGTTCGCGATCTTGATGGCGCTCTGGTTGTCGCAGTGGAGGCGAAAGGTGGGCGAGGTCGAGATTTTCGCTTCCTGCAGTAGTTCTTGCAGGTAAAGTCATTCGCGAACTACTGCTGTTGCGGCGATGTACTCTGCTTCGGCCAATGACAGGGCAACAAGTTCCTGCTTTTGCAAGTTCCATGAGATTGGTCCTGTTGGCTCTAGGAGAAAGACGAAGCCGGTTCGCGACCGTCGATTGGCGGGGTCAGCAGCATGATCTGCGTCCACGTAACCGTTGAGGTTGAATGATGTTGCTAGGGATGAGCACAGATACGAACACCTGTTCGGTTCGCCTCGAACATGTTCGTCGACGAATTGCCCGCGACCAAATTTAGGGTCGCGGCCATTTCTGTTTAAGCTCATTTTTTTTAGCTCAAACTAGTCGCGACTAGGTCGCCACCCCCAACCCGCCCTCTACCAGCCCCACCTACCAGTCTAAGGCCCTCGATGCTTCATCATTGAGGCGTCATGAGGCCAACACCTACTAATAGATTGTAGGAACTATTATGAACGGACAGGTTTAAGTAGTTGGCTAGCGATTAGGATTACCACCGTTCAATGCACACGCAGGTGGAGAAACTTGCCCGTGCCATAAGACATAGGGTTACTCTAACGAAAATTTCCCAGGGGCGAACACGAACGTGTTTGCCACGAACACGTTCGTGTTCGCCTTAGTATGCAAGATGTTCGCCCTCACAGGCGAACATCGAACACCATTTTTTGTAAAAGGTGTTCGGCGAACCGAACACTGTTCGGTTCGCTGAACGGCAGTGTTCAAGCTGGGGCGAACGCGAACATGTTCGTGTTCGCCCCTTGCTCATCCCTAGATGTTGCTGTCAGCGTGGAGTAGGAGAACCCGATGTCAGGTGTGGATATGAAGTACTGTAGGGCGCGCTCCAGGTCCTGATGGTTCTCTGCTACTGGCTTGCGGGAATACTGTGCCAGTTGACTGGCGATGTACGAGAGGTCGGGTCGGCAAGTGACGGAGGCGAACAACAGGCACCCCAGTTGCTGTTGATAAAGGTGGAGTCCTGCGGGTGACAGAGGTTTGTTGTCCGGTTTGTAGTTGGCGCTAGGGGTGCGATAAGGAGTTGAGAGTGGTGCGGGCGAGATTTTGAAGCGTTCCCCCAGCTGCTTTGCGTACTTAGAAGCGGACAGATGAATTGCTTCTGGCGCGTAAGTGATGTTCAGTCCCAGGAATCGCGTGACCTTGTGGTTGATGGTAATGTCAACGCGCTGCGCCAGGTTCGCTTCGAACTGGTCCAGGAGCTTGTTGCAGGTGCCGGTGTACAGCCGGTCGTCGACGTAGACTGTCAGGATGATGTTATCGCCGTTGAAGTGGAGGCGGTACATTCCCGGGTCGTGCGGTAGCTGCCTGAAGCCGATCTCCAGAAGTATCTTGTGTAAGTGCTGCTGCCAGAGGCGCGGCGCCTGTTTTATGCCGTAGAGAGATTTCTTCAGCTGGCAGACCCTGGGATCTCCTTTCCCGTAGGTGTGAGGTTGCTCCACGAAGATGGTTGCGTCGACCAACGCATATAGGAACGCGTTCTTGACGTTGATCTGTCGCAGTGGTAGGTGCTTAGTTGCAGCGATGGCGAGTAGGATCCTCACAGAGGTATGGGGACTGACGAGAGCGAAGGTCTGGTCGAAATCGATGCCGTGGCGCTGGTCGTAGCCGCATACAACCCAGCGTGTCTTGAAACGCTCAATAGTTCCGTCAGCTGCAGTCTTCGGACAAAAAACCCATTTTCCGCTTAGCACCCTCCTCCCTTTCACTGCTGCACGATCGACTAGGACCCAGGTATCTCATGACTCCAGTGCTGTTAGCTCCGCATCCATGGCTGCACGCCACTCCTTGGCGTGTGGTCCAGTGAGGGCCTGTCGTGGGTTATTAGGTTCGACGATGCGGGGGGCGGTGGTGACTGCCGTGTGCAGGCCGAGGAGTTGAAGGCCTGTGAAGTTGGATGCACCTTTGGCTTCCTGAGCAGCGACTTCTACTACGCCGTCATCATCGCTTTCGTGAGTCGGCGAGGGGTCGCTTGGCGGAGCATGGCGACGTGACGGTTCGGGCGCGGGAGTGTCGTTGCTGTCATCATTGTCGTTGACGTCGCGTGGTCGAGGAGGTACGCCAGGATGTTCGTCCGTGGGGTCGCAGTCGAGCACTGCTGCTGCAGCTTAATCTTTCGACGAGGCGAAGCTGCGACCGTGGTTGGCGTAAGCCCGTGTGAGATGGCGGACTTGATCCTCGTTCCACTGCTTCAAGGTGAGTCGTTCGTAGAAGAGGATGTCACGCGCCGGCACAATCTTGTTGTTGTCGATGTCAAGGATCAACCAGCCCTTGTATTCATGGCTGAGTCCCAAGTGCACTCCCCATCGTGCCCATTGAGTGAACTTGCCGACGGTCGCGGATGTCGGCCGATACTGCACCATACACCCCCACACCCTCAGCATGGATGTATCTCCCCTTGTCCCAGTCCATTTCATGTGCGGGGAGAGATTTCCCCTGTTCGCTGTGGTGGAGAGGAGGTTGTGTAGACGCACGGCATGATTCATGGCGTACGGCTAGATGTTCTTGGGTAGCCCGGACTGGTTCATGAGGGCGCGCACCTTTGTTAAAAGAGTGCGATTGACCCTCTCTGCGACGCCTTGTTGCTGGTGAGCGTAGTAAAGTGAGATGTCATGCTTGATCCCCTTCTCTGCGAAAAGCCCTTCCAGCTCATGGCTGCGAAATTCCTTGGCGCCGTCGGTCTACCAGATTTTCAGCTTCTTTCCTGATTGCCGTTGCGCGTGTGCGAGCCAGATGCGGAAGATCTCAGGAGCTTTGGAGCGGGCGTCGACGTTGGCGACCCAAACGTGTCGTGAGTACGCGTCCACGAAGGTGAGGGTGTTGTTCTCACCGTTGAGTCCTTCACAGGTGATTATGATGAAGTCGCTGTAAACTTTCTGCAGCTTCTTGTAGCGATTGGTGCTCCAGTGAGGGGAAGGCTTGGTGTGTGAGGGCAGCAGTGGGACAGACGGTGCAGGTGGTTGGGTGTGATGTGCTGAGTGGCTTCGTGCCGTCGGGGCGTAGCAAGGCTCCTGGCTGGAAAACTTTGGCACGAAGGCAATTGTTGAACGTCTGAAGTGAGGGGTGGCCTAGCCGCTGGTGCCATAGATCATATTCGGCACGAATTACAGGGGTACGCAGGTAACGTGCGTGATATTCTGCTGCCTCTGCTTCTGTCTCTTGTGGGATGTCTAGCACGGGTCCTTCTTCTTCTCCTGGTTCTGCTTCGTTGTACTACTCCTCTGCTTCTGTTTCTGCTGCTGTCTCCCCTTCAGCAGGTGCTGTCGTGAGGCAGAGCGCGAAGAAGTTGTGGTCGGGGATAATGTTGAGTGGAGTCCTGGTGCCTTCGATGAAGCGAGCGAACGGATCTGGGCGAGAGATTGGTCCAAGCGAGTCGCGAGGCGGAGTTGTTGGTATGTTCCCCTCCTCAAGCCTAGACCATATCCTGTTCCAGTTGTCGGGGGATTGCGGTGGGATGGGCGGTTGCGTGGAGGTCGTCCGAGGGGAACTACGACTCGTGGGGGTTGCTCTCCGCGCTCTGCAGCAAAGTCTCGCTCTATCTCCTCCAGTTCTTCTCTTGTGGGCGGTGCATCCACATAGTCATTCTCGCCCCATCATCCTGCATCGCCCCAGCCGACAATTCCCCAGCCTTGCACGGTACCGGATGCGCCAGTTGCGGATCCCCATGTTGCACCGGCGGTGTCGGGATTTCCCCACCCGCCACGTCATGCTGATTCCGGGCTCCATCCTGCAGCGATGCGCTCTTGGTATAGTCGTTCCTTCTCCTCTGCTGCTGCTTTCTCTTCCTCTTCTTTTATGCTGAGCTCCTCGGACTTGTCGGGATCTTTCCATTCTTTGTCAATGGTGCGGTAAACGTCGCGAGGGTAAGGGCGCGGCCGATTCTCCTCGTCGAACGTTCCGACCGTGGCTTCTTCCAGGATTCAGCGGAGAGTTTCCGCTGCGGGTGTTGGGCGTTCCACCGCTGGCTGGCCGAGCTCTTTATTCCCTGTGCCGAAGACACGGTGAGTGGTGACAGCCAGCTCCATTTCTGTCATGCCTTCAGATTCAGCCTCGACGCTTTTCGCTTCTTGGATTGCCGCGTAATCTCTTTCAACTTCTTCTGTGCGGCTCGCCGTGGGTGTGAAACAGGTGGTGCAGAGTCCGTTAGGTCCAGGTTAGTGCAGGTTTATCTCATGCGGGTGAGGACTGCGGCGGATCCAGGGACGTCCATCAGGATGCTGCCATGAATCCGCGTTCATGTATGGGAAATCCAAGGGATCGAGATCCACAGGGGGCTGTCTCGGAAGCCGCCCTATGCGCCGCCCTTCTGGTCGAACAAAGAGACATGGATCAGCAGCGACCAGCGCCGCGACGAGAACGGGAACGTCTCGCCTTCTACGCCGACATCACAGAAGAGCGACGACTGCGGCGTCTTTACTGCAAAATCTGCAAAAAAATTGGGCTTTTGGTGGAGCGATGCAAATTCCGCTCTCGCCCCCGTCAGACCAATCCGAGCACTTGGTCCGGCCGACAAGACGCACGGAATGACACACGTCAAGCCCAGGGCTATCAGGCCCAGTCGCGCAACCTGAATCCAACGGTTCAGCACCAGCACCGGCAGCCGTCGCAACCTGCGCCTGCCCGCAACGTCAGCAGCAACATGACGATGACACACACGACTGGATCTCGCCGCCGCCGCGTGCGTACGCCGTCACCCGAGCCAGCATGCGTGCGTGCCCAATTGGGGCATTCACGGCTAACAACCCGTTCACTCCCCGACACGATTTCAGCGACGACGACGACCACGATTGGACTCTTCCAATCCCGCTGCTTGAAAGCCCCCCGCACGTACCTGATTCGCGGGCGGCTCCTCTCGACTGGATCTCGCGCGAACAGTTCCTGAAGTTCGACACTCCGCACATCGTCACGCCGCGACTGGCGCTGCTCGCGCGCGACGACAACAAGAGGTACAACACCTGGTACCTCGACATCTGCTGTGGCCAGCACATGGTCGGTTCCGAGCGTTTTGTCTCAACGCCGTCTCGACCCCAACGGTCATTTACGCCACCGTGGCAAACAACACCCGTTTGTGCGCAAGCATGCAAGGCATTGTCGTGCTCAAGGCGCACGCGAGCCGCACGCACATCACGCTGAACGATATGCTAATCGCCCAGAATCTTCGCTTCAACCTCCTCTCGGCAGCACAACTCATGGATTGCGGAGTTGAGCTAAGCACGGACCTTCCAACGCGCGACATACTCCTGCATTATACGACGCCGAAAAAGTCGCGCAGGCAGATCGGACGGGCACATTCCGAGAACGGCGTGTACATCCTCGACTTCGACATTCCAAATGTAGCGGTGACACGGATGAGTTGATCGACCTCATCCCGCTCCGCTTCGAGGAAATCCACTGCACGGAGTGGAAGGATCCAGATGGGAGGCCCTGGGTGCCGCATCACCCACATGCTCGCAAAGTCGCGCTCCACTATCCTGGCCCTGATGGCATCCGCAGGGATTGCCACACGCCGACTGCTTCGACAAGCATGATAGCCGTACGAGGGCTCGCCGCAATCGCCGAAGCTGAACGACTCGCGCCGCCTGAAGAAGGCATGTCAAACACAGAGCTCGAAATCGTGACGTACAACGTCTTCGGGACCGAGGAAAAACCCCTTCTCGGACCCGCATCACGACATCTCCAAGGGATCTTACGTGGCACATGACATGGCACTTTCGACACATGCGGAGTGGCGCGCCCCTACACGAAGGAGGAATTATTGAAGGTCTACCCCCACTGGCGAGACCCCGGCCCCAAGAAGAAGCTCACTATCGCTCAAGAAGAGGAGCTGGCGCGACGCGAAGCAGAGGAGCTCCGTCGGAAGAGCATCGCCGAGGCACGCGGAACGTTCGCCTGCAGCGCATGGGGCGCCGAAGAAGAGAGCGTCACCAATGAAGGAGGGTGGGGGAGCAACGATGGCTGGGGACCAAGTGATACCGGCAAATGGGGCAACACCGGCGGTACCTGTGCAGATGCTGGTGGCGGATGGGGGACCGCAACTGGCGTCGACACAAGCGGTTGGGGCACCTCCGGCGAAGGCTGGGGAGCTTCCCGAGAAGAAGAAAGGGGGGGAACAGAAGAAGAAACCGAACCTCCTATTGTTCCCCTCGGTCGTCCCTCGCGCCTCCCTGCACCTGCGTTACCTCCGCCTGACATCCAGCCACATCGCGACCCCTGAGATACCATCGACTGGGGCAATGAGCTCTCGCCCCACGTCGCACAGTCTACGGACCCGATCCCGAGCCGCGCGAGCCTACTCTCGGCATCGGCACAATCCCCGGGACCAACATCCCCCTCTCCGTGATTCCCGACAGGGAATTCCTGGCACTGATGCTGACAACGGCAAACGAAGAAGAAGAAGAAGAAGAAGAAGAAGAAGAAGAAGAAGAAGAAGAAGAAGAAGAAGAAGAAGAAGAAGAAGAAGAAGAAGAAGAAGAAGAAGAAGAAGAAGAAGAAGAAGAAGAAGAAGAAGACGAAGAAGAAGAAGAAGAAGGAGAAGGAGAAGGAGAAGAAGAAGAAGAAGAAGAAGAAGAAGAAGAAGAAGAAGAAGAAGAAGAAGAAGAAGAAGAAGAAGAAGAAGAAGAAGAAGAAGAAGAAGAAGAAGAAGAAGAAGAAGAAGGAGAAGAAGACGAAGAAGAAGAAGAAGAAGGAGAAGAAGAAGAAGAAGAAGAAGAAGAAGAAGAAGAAGAAGAAGAAGAAGAAGAAGAAGAAGAAGAAGAAGAAGAAGAAGAAGAAGAAGAAGAAGAAGAAGAAGAAGAAGAAGAAGAAGAAGAAGAAGAAGCGCCGGCAGAACCTACCCCACTGCCTGAAGAAGACCCCGAAGCAGTGCGCGCGCGCTACATGCGCACCTCTGGACTCAGCGCCAACGACGACCTTTGGCACCAGCGCCTTGGTCATCCCTCGCGCGTGACGCTGAAAAACTGCATCGAGGAAGGCGTGTTTGTGCCTGGCGCACTCCTGCGCCCTGACGGCTCCGAAGTCAGGAGCACATTACAGCCGCGCAACTGCACCGTCTGTCCCGAAGCTGCACTGAGTCATCAGCCGTTTCCCCTGCTGGAACCAGGAACCAACCGCTACCCTAAGCTGCACAAGGTGTACAGTGACTTCCTCGTTGTCGGCCACTGCGGGCTCAACGACGAGGGGTACACGCTCACCTTTGTAGACGCGGAAACCCGCTACATGTGGATCGCAAACGTGCAGTTCTGCAGCAGTGCGTACGAGGTCTTCCGCATTTGGCTGGCGCACGCGCAGCGGCAATCTGGGGAGAAACTGAAGATTTGGCAATCGGACGGCGTAGCAGAATTCCGCAGCATGGAGCTACAGGACTACCTGGCGCAGAAAGGTGCACCACTTCTCCCTCCCCTACGCGCATCCGCAGTAGGGTGTCGCCGAGCGCACAAACCGCACGCTCATGTCGAAGGTGCGGGAGCTGCTGAAGCAGTCGAAGCTTCCCCCGACGTACTGGCCGTACGCAATGCATCACGCCGTGCGGGTGCACAATCTCCTCTCCACCACCGCCATCACAGGGAACCTGTCCCCGCACATGAAGTGGACTGGCGAGAAGGGCGACACCTCTATGCTCCGCGTGTGGGGATGCATGGTGCAATATCGTCCGCCGACGTCAACCATCGGCAAGTTCGCAAGCCGCGCGCGCTGGGGGATTCACCTCGGCATAAGCTACGAATACAAGGCGTGGATTATTCTGGATCTACTCATCCAGAAAGTCACGAATGCACGCGTTATCATCTTCTACGAGCGGCTCAACCTCGCCCAGTTCCGCGAAGATGAGCAGATGAACGCGAACCGTGTTTACACAAACAACGGACACAGCTACGCCTCCTTAGAGGATGAAGCCGCCGCTGCCATCCTGGAGCAGGACAACGTGAGCAAGTTTACTAACATCGGCGGAAGCATCAACGACGATGACGACGACAGCAACGACTCGCACCCAGGTCCCGCAGGTGGAAGCAGCAGGGACGCTCCACCACCACCACCACCTGATCCCGAGAGCGATGACGACGATGTGCAGGAAGTCGTCCCGCAACATCGCCACGACAGCACCATCTCTGGGCTGCAGCTACTGGGCCTACACGCAGCCACCTCCACAGATCCGCGCGTCATCGAGCCAAAGAACCCACGACAGGCGCTGACAGGACCACACAGCAAAGAGTGGCGCGAAGCCATGGATGCAGAAATCAAGGCGTTAGAGTCGCGCGACACATGGGTGCTCGTGGACCATGCAGCTATCAAGGGCAGGAGAGTGCTCTCGGGGAAATGGGTCTACCGCGTGAAGACCGCAGCAGACGGGACAATCGAGCGCTTCAAGGCACGCTAGGTCGTACGCGGGTACGATCAAAGGCACGTCATTGACTTCGACCAGACGTTCGCTCCCGTCAGACGTCACACTTCTGTCAGAATTCTACTCGCCATTGCTGCCGCTAGGCACCTACCTCTCCGTCAGATCGACGTGAAGAACGCATTCCTATTTGCGTTGGTAGATGCAGTAATCTTTGTGGAGCAGCCGCACACTTTCGGTGAAGGGGATGTACGCGTCTGCCAGCTGAAGAAATCGCTTTATGGGATAAAGCAGGCACCACGCCTCTGGCAGCAGCATCTGCTGTCAGAAATGAGAAGGAAAGAATGATTGAAACAGAGAAGAGGGTTTTCACTAGCAGGCAGTTGAGTACATATAGGAAACCCTAATTTGGGCTATACTCGCTATAGAGTACCCCACTGCAGGCTAGACAAATATTACATTCTGACACACCCCCATATTCAAAGTGGGGTATAATCAGCACATCAAGCAGTCATAGAGCAGGTTCACAAGTACAAGCAAAGCTAGAGGCATTCACAAAGGGCAAGTGAGGAGGAGGAGGTGGGACTGTGAGAGGAGTGGAGATAGGAGGCGACGGGTGAAGCCGCAGACACACGGGCAACAGGAGCGGCGCGCACGGTGGCTACCGGAGCAAGGGCCCCGGACTACAGGAGTAACTGGCTCTGCGGCTAACTCCGAGCGGCAGGAGCAACGGACCCACAGGCAACTGGCGCAGCAGGCTCGCTGGGCTACCGGAGATTGTAGCCTTCGGACTACTGGCGCTGCTGGTGACACGACGGCTGTCAGAATGTTATAATTGTCTAGCCTGCAGTGGGGTACTCCATAGTGAGTACAGCCCAATTAGGGTTTGCTATATGTATCCAACTGCTTGCTAGTGAAATCCTCCTTTCTTCATTCTTGTTTCTTACTGCTAAATCTGACATGGTTTCAGAGCAGGTCGACCCCCTTGGGTCGATCCTGTGGGTGGGCCCACCACCTAACTGCTTCCGCTGCTGTTCTGCTTCTCGCGCGCCTCGGGCGCGCGCCGTCTTCTTCCTGCCGTGCGCTCGGGGCGCGCGGCGGTTTTCTGCCCGCCGTGCGCCCCGAGGCGCGCGGCGGTTTTCTGCACGGTGGATCCGCGCGCGCCCCCCTTGCCATCCCGTCGCCATTCGTGGCGCCCTCTCCCGTCGCCCGTCGTGGCGTCGCGGGGGCGGCGCGTCCCCCCCATCCCGTCGCCCGTCGAGGCGCCTCGGGGGCCGCGCGTCCCCCCCCTTCTGTCGCCCGTCGTGGCGTCACGGGGGCCGCGCGTCCCCCCCCCCCGTTCGTGTCGTCACGTCGCGACGCTCTGGGGAGCCGCGCGCGACCCCCCGCTGCCCTGTCGCGCCGCCCTGGGGAGCCGCGTGCGGCCCCCTGCTGCCCCGTGGTGGCGCCCTGGGGGCCGCGCGCCGTTGTGTGGGGGTGCCTGTTGTGTGCGCCGTCCCCTACTCCTCCTCCTCCTCCGTCTCCCGCTGCTGCAGCTGCCGCTCAGGGGGGTGTGTGTGTGGGGAGCCGAAGGAGTGGTGCTAGGGGGGTGAAGGGGGAGTGGAGCTAGGGGCACAGCAGTGGGTGTGTGAAAGGGGCGTGGGACTGTTGGGGGAGGTTGTGTGGAGGTAGCTGTCGTGTCGCCTACAGCGCCTGTAGTCCGTCGCCCTTGCTTCGGTAGCCAGTGAGCCTGTTGCACCAGTCGCCAGTGGGTCCGTTGCTCCTGCCGCTCGTCTTAGCCGCGGAGCCAGTCACTCCAGTAGTCCGTCGCCCTTGCTTCGGTAGCCACTGAGTCAGCAGCTCCTGTGCCCGTGCCTCTGCAGCTTCAGTCGTTGCCTCCCATCTTCTCTCCTTCCACAGTTTCTCCTCCTCCTCACTTGCCCGCTGTGATTACCTCTGGCTTTGATTATTATTGTGAACTCCTGCTATGCCTGCTCATTGTGCTGATTACACCCCACTTTGGCTATGGGGGTGTGTCAGAATGTTATAATTGTCTAGCCTGCAGTGGGGTACTCCATAGTGAGTACAGCCCAATTAGGGTTTGCTATATGTATCCAACTGCTTGCTAGTGAAATCCTCCTTTCTTCATTCTTGTTTCTCACTGCTAGTTCTGACAACGGCTACCTCCGCCCAACCTCCCCCAACTGTCCCACCCCCCTTTCACACACCCCTTGCTGCACCCCTAGCTCCACTCCCACGTCACCCCCCTAACGCCACTCCCTCGGCTCCCACAAACCCACCCCCCTCAGCGTCAGCAGCAGCAGTGGGAGACGGAGGAGGAGGAGGAGCAGGGGACGGCTCACACACCCGCCACCCCCATACCCCCAACGCAGGGCAGAAACGCGGGCAGCAGCTGGGGCGGCGTGTGAGCGGAAGCGGGGCAGCGCGTGGGCCCCCAGGGCACCTCGACGAGCGACGGGAGGGGGGCGACCTGCGGGCCCCCAGGGCGCCGCGACGGGCGACTGGCAGGGCGGCGCGCAGGCCCCCGAGGAGCCGCGACGGGCGACGGGAGGGGGCGGCGCGCGGGCCCCTGGGGCGCCGCGACGGGCGAAGGGAGGGGGCAACGCGCGGGCCCCCAGGGCGACGCGACGGGCGACGGGCAAGGCGGCGCGCGGGCCATCGGGGCGCCGTGACGGGCGACGGGAGGGGGCGACGCGCGGGCCCCCAGGTCGCCGCGACGGGCGATGGGCAGGGCGACGCGCGAGCTCCTGGGGCGCCGCGACGGGCGACGGGGGGGGGGGGGGGTGGGGGGGGGGGGGGGGGGCGGGTCCATGGGGGCGCCGCGACGGACGATGGGGCGTGAAACCGCCGCGCGCGCCCGGGGCGCGCGGCGGGCAGGAAACCGCCACGCGCCCCGAGCGCATGGCGGGCAGAAAACCACCACGCGCTCCGAGCGCTTGGCGGGAAGAAAAAACGTCGCGCGCCACGGGGCGCGCGACAGACAGTACAGCAGCGGAAGCAAGTGGGCCCACGGGCCAGGAGCGTAGTCGCTCTGATAGCATGTCAGAAATGAGAGGGAAAGAATGATTGAAACAGAGAAGAGGGTTTTCACTAGCAGGCAGTTGAGTACATATAGGAAACCCTAATTTGGGCTATACTCGCTATAGAGTACCCCACTGCAGGCTAGACAAATATTACATTCTGACACCTGCACAAAATCCTGCTCGAGATAGGATTTCAGCAGCTGCCGCACGACCCAGGCATGTATCGCCTTCATTTCTGCGGCGAATACATTCTGCTCACGATGTACGTCGATGATCTGCTCTACACAGGAACAAACAGCACCCTGCTCGACCAGTTCGAGAAGAACCTGGCGATGCGCGTTGACATCACCACCAACCATGACGTGAAGCAGTTTCTAGGGCTCAATATAACGAACTCGCCATATGCCATCCACCTCTCAGCTGCTAAGTATGCTGAAACTCTTGAAAAGAGGTTCAACATCTCCCCCGCACCACTCTCAACTCCTTACCGCACGCCCGGACCGAACCACAAACCCGACAACAAAGCCCTCTCCCCCGCTGGACTTCACACTTACCAGCAGTGGCTGGGATGCCTGCTCTTCGCTACCGTCACCTGCAGGCCTGATCTCTCATAAATCGCGAGCCAGCTGACTCAGTACTCCCGCAAACCAACGGCTGAAAATCTCCTACACCTTCAGCGCGCTCTGCAATTCTTCATCTCCACGCCCAACATTGGGCTCAACTACTCCACAGTCACCACCCCGTCCTTCAACCTCATCGGCTA